TTATTATTAGTGGATGTTTCTTTAAGTAGTTTTTCAGTTTCCATTGTTTGTTGAGGATGTTGCGGTTGATTGGATTGGTTGCCTGATTGATTTTTAACATAAAATCTCTCTGTTGAATGTTTCAACCTTGTATCCTCTGCCATTTACTCCTTACCCTATAAGGTGGCATTTCTTTTAGTAGGTTTGGGTATTGGTTGCCTGTTGGAATTTCTGGGATTGGGGTTGGACTTCAACATAAAAACCTTCTCAATAAAAATGTTTGTTATTGAGAAAATTTTGGATTGGAAAACCCTTTGAACGAAACGTGCCGTAAGGTGTCTTAAAGCACCTTTCAACATTGGCATCTGTTTCTCATACAAACGTTGGTTTGACGGTGTTTGGATAAATTGGATTTGGACGAAATGGTGCGTCCGCAGTCGGGACACTTGAAGGGTGTTGAGAGTTTCTTTTGATAGTATTTTGAGAAGTATTCGGGGTCTAATGGTTTGCTGTCATAAGTTCCATCGGGTTTCCATCTTGTAGAGGTTTGGATTGGGGGTTCTTGGACTGTTTCTGGATTGAGTGCTTCAACAAGTTGGTCAAAGATGTCCTCATCCATTTCTTGTTTCTTACCATCAATTACTAAATAGCAGGGCATATCAAATCTTAATTACATAAGGCGACTTGTCTTTAAGTATCTTTGGGGTGTTCTGTGTTCGCAAATGAGGTGTCCCAAAATGATGTGAAAAGAAATTCGAAAAGACCAGTTTAGGACACTTGTTGAATACTGTTCCTGCCGCTGTCAAAGTTGTTAGAATGCCATTGTCGTTGTTGCAGCTTGTTGGGAAACTGCAACTGCATTGCCTTCAGTTGAAGTTAGCAGTATGGCGAAGCCTCATTACCCAAAAAACATGCTCATCTGCCATCAACTCCCGCAGGGCGGATGGTTTGTCTCTCTTCGTTTCCACGAAAAACAACTTGAACTATTTCATCACATATGCCTATATATATATATACACATAATAAACATTAACCCTGCCACACCGTCCCAACCCGTTGGATGCTCCAGACCACTCCGACGAAACTTGATTTCCCTGAAGAAACAAGATGAACAAATCGGGAGGATTAAAGGGTCTGTGGGTTTGCGCGGGTGTGTGGTGCATATGAACCAATACATGCTCAAGGGGTATGGACAGAATGCTCCCCCAAAAGATTGCTAAATTAATCATCACCAACGTCAAGTTTTGGAGACTGCTTGGAAATGTCATTCCAGCAAATCTTTGTTTGGATTTTCACCGAAACAATCAGGTTTTGAAGGCTGTTTGAATAGTTCGCTGCTTCAAGGCTTTGATAGAACCCGTTTCCAAAATCTTGCATTATGACAAATGCTGGGATTGACCTTCTAATAGATGGTGTCCCTGATGTCTTCACAACCTTGGCGCGGACGCATTCGGCAAGTGGAAGAGGGCAACTGGATGCAATTGGATACAGTAAAGCAGTGAAAAGTGGTTGATATCATCACCAAACTTCTGGGCCTGAAGAATGCTACATTTGAGAGTGCCAATCCAACAACTGCGAAACAAACCAATCTTCAATCTCTGCCATTTCATTTCACTTTTGCTCATCCAGTCTTGGAACACTGTGCAGTCTGTCCCACCGGTGCATTGTGCAGCGCAGATAGAATGCATCCCGGATTGAAGGGTAGGTGCAACCCCAATAAAAATCATCACCTTTCTGTGTTTTGCCAGTCTGGTTGGACGCAATGCGGATTGCACCATCCATGAATCACGAATGGCACCTTCAGTGCATAACGGATTGCACCCGACCTGCAATCCAAAAGTCCTACTGGTCCTACAAGGAACAAAGCACTCTCATTCACACGCCACTGCCACTTCCGCCTTCAGACCTTCTTCAAAAGGTCATGCACTGTGCGGGACACTGCGCAGTAGCGTTGCCCCTCTGCCCGCGCATCCACATAGATGCAATGAGCGCTTCGGTTCCGCACCGCTCTCGCCACGTCCGCAGGCGTGAAGTGCTTCATGAACCGCTTGGCATCGACACACTGCTCGAAGGAGCTATGCGCCACGGCCTTGGCCAAGGTGCGTGCCATCCTCGCCTCTTTGGGGCCAATTCCACCTTGGTTGTCAATGCCCAAGAACTTCTCGACCTGATATTCTTGCACCACAAGCCGTTTGGACTTTGCTTCTTCCCATGATGTCTCTTTGGCCTTTTCCGCCACGTCCTGCAGGAGATGTGGGCAAGTTTCAAGGTTTCAACGTTCGTTGATGTTTCGGGTTGTTGTCCCATGGTTTCATGACCCTTGTCCTCCATTACACCGATGTTGCCACCTGTGAGTTGAATCATGTCGCTCTTGTGCGTGGAGGCCTCTTCACCGCCATGATGACGTAGGAATTCCTCAACCTGACAAGGAGACGTCCATCTGCAAACATCCCAACCCATGCCAGAAGTAGCACCAACAAAAAGCACTAAAGTGATTGAAGGTGACTGAACAATTACCACATGGACTGAAGCTCTTCATTATGGCCTCCTTCTGCGAGAGCTCTTCACTCGTCAGTGGTGGAACGAAGAATCGGCGCTCACGACCGTCTGCGTCAAAAGCCATGGCTGACACTGCAGAACTGACCATCACCAGCACTTTGGCGACCGTGTCATCAAAGCCCCATGACTTTGCAAAGGCGGAGACGCTGCTCATCACATCTGGATTAAAGACACCACGAGGAACTTCAAGGATGATGATGGGTTGCCGTCCCATTTCTTGTTTGGCATCTCTCAAAACACGCACCACCTCCTCTTCATGGAGCACTGCCAACGCGCTCATCACCTTTTCCGTGGCCAAGTGATTGTTCTGCGTGAGCTTGATGTGGAGCACTCCATTGTTCCACTGTTTCTCCTGCAACACTTCCCAAAGGATGGTGCTCTTGCCCACTTCATGGTTCCCGCAGATGAGGATTGGGCGGGGGTCGTCCAAGTCCAACAACTGGTGCATTTCGTCCTGCCACAGTGCATAGTGAGCATAGTGCATCAAATTCAAAATGTCAGTATGACATGAAATAACACCTATCTCAAGAACAAATCCCTTCTGTCAAGAAACGCAGGGACAAACACAACAAAAAAAAAAGGTGGTGCTTGGACGCCTTGATTATCTTCCGTTCAATCTTGACACGTGGCTCGCGTGCTTTGAAAGAGGCATTCACAATGATATTCTTCACTCGCTCTTGTTCTTGACGATGCCGTTCTTGTTCTTGACGATGCCGTTCTTGTTCTTGACGATGCCGTTCTTGTTCTTGACGATGCCGCCACATATCCCATCCAAAGGTCACGATGGCCAACGAGCCACCACCACCAACCAACCACTTTCCAATCTGCTGTTTCGTGGTCGGCTCCTTCTCTGGAGCGTTGTTTGAGAAGCAACGGTGGTTTCGTCGGCCTGACATGAGAAGCCGAAAACCACAACATCGGGCAATGAGGCAACGCGACATACCCATGGCGGAAATCTCCAGAACTGGGACTGTGCTGGAGCTCAAGCACTTTACGATTTCTTGATGCGTTGACTTGTTCATAGTGCAACACATGCCGCAAGTAGAACTCATCTTATCTTGTGAGCATTTGTGAGCCTGTCTGCTGCGGGAGAAAGCAATCAACATCTCTGGGTGTAGTGTAATGCCACAATGTGTACATAGAGTGTACATAGTGCCTCAAGAAACGCAATATGTCCTCAAAAGTGATGCTTCCATGCAAACGAAACAGCGCGCACATCTCATCTGGGCGCCCCCGACGAAATCCAGAAAGTCCATGAAGAAGTCCGCAAAAAATGAGGCGAAGCGAAAGACGTTCAAATCAAAACACAACCAAGAAAAAAACCCACCAAAAAAGACGAGAATGAGAGAATAAAAAATGAAAGATGTTGAAAGACATGGAACCTTTTGAAAGATATCAAGTTGAATGTTCTGTCTTGAAACTGATGATAAGGAAACACAATAAAATCATACCCAAAAAAAGACAAGACATACCTTGACAATAAAAAACGACAAGCACAAGTACACTATCCACAGTATCTCCCTCATCTGAACCAAAACACAAACCCCAACAGCCTAAACAATTGTCCCCCTCATCAAAAACCAAACATTGACACATCACTTTAGCATCAAAATTACCCCCAAAACCCCACCTGAAAAAACATCAAAGGTGAAGATGAAACATTGAACCCCAACACAAAATCATAACAAGCAACATACCAACATACACGCCCTGAAACCCCCATTTTACCATTTTTTTCTGGGATTTCCAAGGCCCTTTTTCAACCTAATTTCTATCTTCATCCATGGACCCCGGTATTTTTTTCTACAAAATGCCATGGTCTGGCCGAGTTGTAGTGGGCCCTGGTCCTTTTCACAAGGTGGCCTCACTACAAAATGACCTATAAAAAGCCATTTTGTAGTGGCCTTAAGGCCACCCATTCTGTATGGGAAATTGGAACGGATAGATATATCCCGAATATTACCTAGGTGATTTAGCAAACAATATAAATAAAATTAATATTGATTTATATTGATTTAATAAATTATAATAAAAGCATTGGTTTTTCTTTTGCTCCTTGAGGAATCATATTTCGAGAATTCAAGATGTCAGACCTGAATTCATATATTCCAATAAGCAATAATATTGGTTCAAATTGCAATACTTCGGAAGATATTCCAATCTGTTCCAGTTCCGTTGTCCTCTATTGTCTACATAAATGTGTCTCCCTCTGAATTTTGGATTATTCCCTTCCCCCATTCATAATAAACACCCCAAAAATATAGTTGGATCCCAAATATGTGTTCTTATCCCGTCATCCACCAGGCTTTCTGAGGGGGTGTGTAGTATTGGGAGGATCGGATTTTAAAAAATGAATTACCCTCTGGTTATTTAACGGTTAGCTATAGAAAATCCACCCATTTTTAATAGGTAAACCATCTATTTCTATGGGCCATCTATACCATGGCTATGTTAAATAACCAGAGGGTATATACTATGAATTACTTGTCATGGACTGCAACTGGGTTTCCCTGCGTGGTGAAGCTGCCAAGAATATGATCCGCCCAACCCTTCGAGCTCCCTGGCCACTGTCTGAAGATGGGATTACTGTACACCATAAAATCATGGTAATTTTAAGGGTTCCATTCTGATTGATTGTGATTAATTATATAAATTATATATACGTCATATATATATATTATGCCAAAATGTAAATATGTTCCTGGTTTGGTTGATAAATCGCAATTCCTTGCGTGCCGCTTCTTTTTTGGTCTTTAAAATCATGACTTACCTAAATAGTCTGAAACCCTGCATTTTATCTTTCATGTTTGAAGCCGTAGCCTAAACCTGCAGTAAATGCTGCTAACGCGCGTCTATATGAAGTGGATGCCGCTGCTAGTTATTTGTGGTGGAACTGGAATATCTGTAGGGCTTGTCGTTGCCTTTGCTGTCACTGTTGCTTTTGCCAAACAGACAGGATGAACTACAAGTTCTCTGGTGGCGACTGGGTCACGGGTCAACCAAAGCCGTTTTTTTAAACTTTTGCTAGCGCATTGCTAGGGCTAGGGGGGGATCTAGCGGGTAAAATTCCGTCGTACAAATTCGCAGAATTGAGCTGCAACCTCAAAAATACAGGAACATTGTTGAGTAGCACAGGAATTCACTAAGACATCCTTAGGTTTAAGGAGCTAAGTGTTGCTGTACATCTTGACTTTTCATCATGTTGAAAGAACAAGCGGACGAGAACACAAAAAAAAATCCTTGAATCAACATGGGTGTGAAAAAACAACTAGCGCAAACCTAGCGGGTTTGCTAGCACTGCCTTGCAGAATTGGTGAATTGAGTTGTGTGCCGCCTCATAATGGAGAGGAAAAACCACTAGGTCCACACTAATGATCAACAGCTGGTACAAGACTTCTGTCAACTATTTTTGGCAAATGGTCATGTACATGATTTGGGGGGCATGGTTCCGATTTATGGATCACTTTCGGACAAACCCATATGCCACAAGCCGCAAAATCAAAAACTTGCAGCTTCTTTTCCCGGTTCCCACGTGGCCTGCTCTAGATAGGCAACTCCAGTACCGAACCTGAACCACAAATTTGACAAACATCTGCAACATCCCCCAACAGTCTTGCTGAGGCCCAATCCTCAGCTTGTTTCGAGTCATGGAGTCTTTGAAGACTTCCTTTCCTGCGGAGCACCATACCGGTGCATGAAGCTGTTGCGCTGACACGTAAATCCAAGGAAAAGGTTGGTTTGCTCAAAACCAGAGTACCCCAGAGCTTATTTTTGTGTTGAATCATGCTCCCCTTTAAAATAATTATTTTAGAGGGATACCTCATAGTTGGACAAAGCCCACACAGCAGAAGGAGCTTCTCATCTAACGGACAACTACCCCGGTTCACTCGCCTTTGGTCGGGCCCGCTGCTCATCACCCCTGGGCTGCCGCTGGGCAGAACATGACACCTCCGAATCTAAATGAATCCATCATACGCCATGGTTTTCTTTGTTGCTTTTGGCTTCATCCAAATAACCTGTCCTCCACATCCAAAAACCTCCAGGCACATTGAACGAGTCGCTTCTCAAAGCATGCCAGGAATGCTCAGAAGCTCCACTGCCAGCCCTGAGAACCTGGGCACCGTCAGAGCCAAAATATGAAGACTGCTCTACAGCTGGCCCAGTGTAACAGTGTGTGACAGTGTAACTTTGAATCTGGACCCGTGAATTCTAGGTTCAGCAAAGTTACAGCCATATTCAACCTAAAGCTTTGTGAGTTTTAAATCAGCCAGCTCTTCCATTCTGACAAGAAACGCAATGTCACTGGGTGGCTCTTCACCTCCAATGCCTCTCAAGGAAACCAGCTGCAACCAGCCATATGGTGAGTCAGAGCAAAAGCAGACCAATTTCAATGTCCACCTTCTTTGCTCAAGTATCCTCTCAATTATGGTTTCATTCGCTCAAATGATTTTCTAAGACCCCCAAGATGGGAAGTGTAAACACAACACGCATCTCACAACACGCTGCCTTTCCGTCTCCACAGCAAGGTTGACAGCACTTGGCCTCCGAACAAAAGGCCCCGCAGTGTTCAGGGATGCATCAATTGCTCCCGTTGGCCCATCCCATTCCCATCCCATTCCCCAATGCCCTACAAGGCGTTGTGTCAAAACAAGGGATGTTGAGAGATACATAGAGATACTGTACCCCACTTGGTTGCCAGCCTGAGATTTGAGGGGATTTTGAGACTGCCCTGAATCAGTCGCCACGTCATACCCGAAAACGCCTCGCATGGCAGGAAGCTGTGGGAACATCCGCTCAGGTTGGCCGCCTCAGCTACGGGGACGCCTCATGTCTGACCCATTATGAGTGGCGCCAGATGTCTCCAAGATACCTCTGGTGCAGGCATCTGCCACTGTCAAATAGTTCACCACATCTGGCTGCACCTGGGCAGCCGGTCATGGTCTGGCAAGGACCGTTCGGAACCGTTTGAAGATCACCTTTTTTGGCCACGGAAGTCCAAAAAAGAACATCTGGCTGCAGAAGCAGAAGCCTTCTTCTGGGGGCACTCAAATGTTGACCGAGTGTCAGGGAATCATCCATCGCTCAAGGAGATGTGGCCAAGACAAGTTGACGCCATCCCCCCTTTGACCTGTCTGTACTGTACAGCCAAAAATAAACCATAGCCAACATGAAATAAACCATAGCCAACATGGGGAGTTATTCTTAAAGTCTTAGGCTCACACTATATGTGGCTTTGTCCACAAATGTGGTATTTAAGGCAAAATCCATAGGTTCATCATTTTTCATATGAATATCTCTCAAATTTGCCATCAATTGGGGTATCCCCATCTTGGGACCCCAATATTTTGTCGGTTGGGTGATGTCCCTTTAACATCTTTAACATCCCACCATCTATTGGTGACCCCAAAAGTAACAGACCCTGAAAATCGCCCGGTTTTAGTGGAAACTAGTGTTCCAACCATTATTTTTTGGGATGGTATATCCCCTTCTTACCCCAGGAGTCACCTCATCAGCTTTGATCTCGGTCAGTATCTGCAAGGCCTGGAAGATCAGAGTCTGACATGGCTGGTTACCCTCTGGAAGTTTAACATAGCTATTGAAAATGGCACATTTATTGAAGATGGTGATTTTCCATAGCGAACTGTGAGTTTACCAGAGGGAAATTTTGATAATCTATAGACAGCCAACCAAGTAATGGTCAAAAACCTAGATATGGATGATCCAAAATCTATTACACTTCTGGCCTTGAAAGACATCTGTAGACAACAATAGTCAAAATATGTCAAAATGGTCAACCAAGCTAGAGTTGAATCCACTTTCATCCATAGTGACCGGGTCAAAGATTCTTCACCCCCAAGAGTTGGAATATGTTGGAATGCTAACATCGTGGCACTCAACATTCTGTACAGAATCCGATTGTAGGATACCCAATAGTTGTAATCTCAAAAACCGTCTGATTAATTATTTAACATAGCTATGGAAAATGGCCGATTGAAAACTATGAATCTGGCCCGGAAGCGCAATGTGTTCCACTTCAATCCACTCTATGGGGTACTATGGGGCATAAATATCATAAATGTGGAACTGAAACTGGGTCAAGCTCCATCGCTCCCTGCGCTCACCTGCTGCCAGCGCCATGTGGATGCGAGTGAGCTTTGCACTGCGTGCCATGCCTTTGCTATATTATATGTATATATATATATATACTAATATCACTGATAATCTGTTGACATCTGATGGGAAGGGATGCTATCTGATCATGATGACATCATCCATCACGAGGTGTTCAGAGGATCAATTGCAGTTGCTTCCAAACGTGGCCTATGCTGTTTTTTTATTTCGGTAAGTGACACCCATCTCCAAGCGCCCCGCTGGCAGCTGGATTGGCAGAGATGCCAATCTCATCCTTTGCAGAAAGTTCAAAGCCTGACTCCATTGGGTTGATGTGGCACAAGCCACCAGTACGGCGCAATAAGCCACCTGTCAAGATCAGAACGCTCCCCGCGTTTGACCGGTGATTTCGAACAAAACAAACACGCAGTTCTGGTGGTATCTTTGTATCCGACCTGTTGAATATCCAGACCTATGAAATTGATCTAAGGTGTATACCACCAAAGTGGGAGGACGGCACGGTATAGACAGTAGATGCATAATCACATATATATATATCCCATCCCCCACTTCACTACATGTGCACATGGCATGCAACCACACCCAACAAATGGGTCTAGATCAAGATCATCAACCTAAAGTTACCCCAAGGACCTGACTCAGCGGGCCAGTTCTATCTTCAGGACCTGAAGCACACCGTCGTCTCCAGATTGTACTTGTAGTAGTTTGAACATTTCCAGGACCTACAGAGGCAGTGGGATTCCAGATCCCAAGTCATAAAGCAAGTCATAAAAATGAGGTCTAAAGAACTGAGGAAGTGATTACGGTGATCGGAAAAGAAATCTATATATGTATCTATATCTTTGTCTATGTATGTACATATATATATATATGATACTCTACAACACTCGAGAGGCCTGAACCAACCTGGTCGGTTGGAACTCTTGCCTCTGGCCCTAACACAAAGACCGTAAAATCAACAAAATTATCTGAGGGCAAACCAAACCAAAGCTATATTCAACATTCCTGTCTGGCCACGATGTCTTGATTTTTCAGATCTTTCTAGAATTCGGATGTATTTACAGTAGTCTAGCGTCAAACTTCCGGGGTACCCTGCAGTGCGATGGGTACCAATGCCCCATCAAAACAATTTTGGATTTCCCCGCCCGGTTGCAAAGCTCAGTGGTAACTACTGCCTCCACCCCTGCGGTACCGGCAGTTGGTTTTGCTACTGGGTTTATGGGAGCGAGATGATAGAGGCCACAACTGTCGAGCCCTTGCTTGCAGCGCACCTTAAATTTGGCCTTCCCTATCCCTTCACTGCACCGGAAGCTTGGCCGACTACTATCTCGGAAATTTACTTCTCCACATGGGGTTGTCTTCAAATGCCCCTGAAATTTCCATGACTAAATAAATGACTAAATCATTCTCCGTTGAAGTATAATCCCTTCCTCCGTTCACATTAAACGCCCTCCAGAAACCAGTGTGGATGTAGGGGATAAAACATGTCTTTGGCACCCAGCTACAGGGGGGTGTTTCATATGAACACGAGTTGGGATTAATAGCCCATTTACCTTTAGCACATGGTTAGTTAATATATCCATTAGTCGTCCATTAAAAAAAAAATCCCATGACTCTCCCAAGGGCCATACATCGGGGATAAACCACCAAATCACAATCCCAGATGTAATATATCAATCCCAGCAACTGCCAATAACCATATAGACATATTAACATCCCAATGATTTTCAAATATATTTCAAATATATAATGTATATTCAAATAGCCATCCCAAAAATGACTCCCATTAGAAATATCCCATTCGAATATCCCGAAAATTGATATCCTATTGAATATCCCATTGATATCCCATCAGAATATCCCATTAAAATTGGAGGTACATGGCCCACGTCCCCCGTCGAACACCTGAAGCCATTGACTGTTCGCGGCCAGGCCGTGCAGAAGGGTGTTGAACATCGCTAGGTTGGGCGACACACCACTACTGCGATGCCAAAAACGGACGGCACGAAGCGCGAAACCAACCCTCTGACAGCAATGGGAAATCCCCCAGTGATGATTCTTGATATGTATATGATTGTATATGTATATGTATATGTATATGTATATGTATATGTATATGTATATATATGTATATGTTGTATGTGTATATATATATGTGTGTGTGTGCGTGTGTGTGTGTGCATGTTTATATAATAGTGTAAACAATATGTACTATATCAATTTAATATATACATATATATATAGCCATCGATGATATGCCTATTAAACATTGGGAGTATGAGACTGTTGCTCGTGCCCTGGCCCAACATAAACCCCTAGAGGCCTCTGCATCAAACGAAGCGCGTGGATCCATTGACGCCTCGCAGCATGCTGCGCGGACTCCTTTTCAGCGCATTTCAAGGAATCAGAAATGGCTCATGATGAAACAGTGTAAAGATCCGCATAAATGTCTTGGAAAAAGAGAAGGGTGATGTATTATTCATTTGGGGGTCAAAGATATCCAGAAAATGCCAACATCCAGCTGTGTCCCCCGGGTTTTCACACCAAAATAGCTCTTGTGACTAGCCAGCATCATCAACCAATGGTCTCATCAACTCAGCTCAGAACCCACTGGCACAAGCGTCCATGCACCTGGGTCCAGAGGATCTGCCAAATATATGGGAATGGGTCAAAACCCTGGTACCTAGTGAACCCCAAAATAGCTGGTAAATGGATGTTCATCCCACTAAAAATGGTATCTATAGGTATTGACCCATACCCATATCCAAATATTTAGTTTGAACATGTTTGAAACAACATGTAGTCAAGATGTGGATGTCAGCTGCACTGGTGCACAATGCTTAGAAATTAGAAAAACACCGCAGAAAACACGGCCTTCTTCAAGTGAGAAAAAGCCTCTTGAACGCAGGATAGAGCTACATTAACTCCGCAGGGGTGTTAAAATTGCATGTGTCTGCCCAAAACTAAACAGCTAAATGGGCAGAGTCTGATCTGTAGATAGTGGTCGGCTTCCTGCGAGCAATTCTCAGGGCATCACGCAGACAACACGACGAAGTTGGGCCTCAGCTTCTTGAAAACTGGATGTTTCTGGTCACCTGGCATGTTTTTCCTCACTTGGCTTTCCTTTCGACCTTTGGCTGAACTAAAGATGTTCAAGCTAAGACCCGGCTGTCCAAAGAACATATCAATTATCAGTCCACGAGGTTCCCAAACAATATATCTGCCACCAGCAGGCTGCAGGCATTGCCGTCGCAACTGTTCCATCAAGATCAGGCTCCGAGGCCACTGTGCGCCTGGTGGGGTTGATGAACAGAAAAGATGAGAAAGGAAGAAAATCTGTTAAGATCTGTTAAGGACAATCTCCGGAATCAAGATAATCAAGGGCCAAAACTCTGATTGCTTAGGCTGCTTAGGCCGGAATTTTTAAACCTCTCAAGATCCAAGTGAGCTGGGATTGGTGGAGAGCAGACTTACGCTGCTAATCCGTTCGAACACACATGGAACACCGCAGACTTGTGCTGCCCTATGCGCAAAAGCATCCACATGGCTCACATGATCCTGCATGCAGATTGGGCAAAACTTCAGAGAGTCTTCACCTCCTCAATGGCGCATTGGAGATAGGGTCCTGTGACTTTGCGCCAATCAAAGCACGGTTCTTCAAGCATTCGCCGGAGCAGGTGGAGAAGATACTATCGCATTTCGATTCGGGGTATTCCTCAGCCAGCCCGGAGTAATGCCAATACCAGCATTGAGAACCACGCCTCCAGCACAAGTCGAGGCAATCATTTCCAGAAGAGACTGTTTTCTCCACAGAGTCAGGTTTCTCCGGCATCTCCTTAGCCACAGCTTTGTCCTCGGCTGCGCAGGTAGCCAACAGCAAAGTCATCATCAAGCACTTTCCAATGGAAACCATGGCGCTGAAAGGCTGTGCGTTTCTACTGAACTTCGAACCCAAAATGCTCTGAACATGATCCGAATTCAATTTCAAACAGGCTTGGGTGGCTGGCTACCCATGCACGAATCATTGCTACATCACAGAAGGGCAAAAAGATCCAACAAAGAATTCGCTCACAAACCCTCACGGCCATCTGCTGTGCCGTTCCCGCCTTTGGCACATGCGCTGATTGCCGAGCCAAACGACACCTCGGCAAGCACTCGCTCATCAGGCACGAAAGAGATCTAAGTCAGCGATCTACCCGGAAACCAACACATGCTTGCAGACTTCCCAACAGGCAAAAACGTGCAAAGCAAGCTTGACCAAGCGTGCTGTTGTGCCACCAGCATCGATCTGGCTAATTGTTCGAGGAAGAAACTTGTGACATAAACACTATTAGATTAATCCTTGGTAGTCATCAAACCACTTTTCCGTTCTCAAAATGAACTCTTGATTATCACTAACAAGAAAAGAAATTTGTGGATATTCCGTATGATATATATATATATACATACATACATACATACATGCATGCATGCATGCATACATATTTGTTTATCTATCTATTTATTTATTTATTTCAATATATATATATATATAGTCCCCCCCCACCAAGACCTACTTTAACCAATTTTTGGTAATCCGCCGGCCTGCCGGCGTGTCTGATTGGAAGGTGTTGTTCTTGTTTCTGTTTTTGGTTTGTACTTGTTTCTGTTCTTGGCTTGTACTTGTTCCTTTGTTCTCTTGCCGCGCGTCGTTGCTTCGTCTGAATCACTACTACTACTACTACTACTACTACTACTACTACTACTACTACTACTACTACTACTACCACTACCAGTAGTACCGCACAAGGCGGTGGCGGAAGTTTCAAAAATAGGAAACCTATAGGAGAGGTTGGTTGTTGTGAATCAGGGATGGCAGAGCGAAGCCACTGATGGACTGAAAGGTGCTTGAGGTCTCCTCTCTTTCTCTCTCTTTCTCTCTTTTTCTCTCTGTTTCTCTATCTTTCTCTGATTATCTACCTACCTACCTATTCATCTATCTGTCTACCTATCTATCTGTCTGTCTGTCTATCTATCTCCCTTTCTATCTATCTATCTATCTATCTATCTAGCTAGCAGCTAGCTAGCTAGCTAGCTATCTATCTATCTATCTATCTATTTGTCTGTCTGTCTCTCTCTCTCTCTCTCTGCCTTTCATCTGTCTATCTGTCTAGCTGTCTACCTGTCTATCTGTCTATCTATCTATCTGTCTGTCTACCTGTCTATCTGTGGTGCAGTGTCATTCAGTGTAATGTAATGTAGTGTAATGTAGTGTAGTGTAGTGGAGTGTAGTGGAATGCAGTGTAATGTAGTGTAATGTAGTAGTGTGGTGTAATTTAGTGTAATGTAGTGTAGTGGAGTGTAGTTGTAGTTGTAGCTGTAGTTGTAGTGTAGTGGAGTGGAGTGTAGTGTAATGTAGTGAAGTGTAGTGGAAGGTCGTGTAGTGTAGTGTAGTGCAATATAGTGTAGTGTAGCCTAGTGGAGTGTAGTGTAATGTAGTGTAGTGTAATTTAGTGTAGTGGAGTGTAGTGGAGTGTAGTTGTGTAGTTGTAGTTGTAGTGTTGTGGAGTGAAGTGTAGTGTAGCGTAAGGTAGTGAAATGTAGTGGAAGGTAGTGTAGTGTAGTGTAATGTAGTGTAGTGTAGTGTAATGTAGCGTAGTGTAGCGTAATTTAGTGTAGTGGAGTGTAATTTAGTGTAGTGGAGTGTAGTGGAGTGTAGTGGAGTGTAGTGGAGTGTAGTAGTGGAATGTAGTTGCGTAGTTGTAGTGGTAGTGTTGTGGAGTGTAGTGTAATGTAGTGAAGTGTAGTGGAAGGTAGTGTAGTGTAGTGTAAGGTAGTGTAGTGTAGTGTAGTGTAGTGTAGTGTAGTGTAGCGTGCTTGAGTGCAGTGTAGTGTAGTGGAGTGTAATGTAGTAGAATGTAGTGAAGGTGTAGTTGTAGTTGTAGTTGTAGTGTAATGTATTGGAGTGTAGTGTGGTGTAGTGGTGGTTGTAGTTGAAAATGCTACAAAACCCTCACGTTTTGCTCACTTTTGACAAGGTGCACAATTCCTTGCGCCTGCCACGCGAAGCGACATCTGAACTTCCAAAAGTGGTCCGACGCTGAAGTGTTTTGTACATTTTGACTTCGAAATGTGCTTCGCACCACAACGGCGTGCACTTTTTCGACTTCTCAACTTCCAAAAGTGGTCCGACGCTGAGGTGCTTTGTACATTTTGACTTCGAAATGTGCTTCGCGCCACAACGGCGTGCACTTTTTCGACTTCTCAACTTCCAAAAGTGGTCTGACGCTGAGGTGTTTTGTACATTTTGACTTCGAAATGTGCTTCGCGCCACAACGGCGTGCAATTTTTCATCTCTCATCTGGCCAGCTGGCTCCGCACCCGCCGCTTTAGCGAGCCTACTTTTCCACCCTCCGGAGCCACAAATCATTGGAAAAACACAATGTTTCGCGACTTTCCTACCTTTTCGCGCATCTGAATCTTCTTTCTTCTGACTCTTTCTCTTCTACTCTTCTCTCTTCTAATCTTTCTCTTCTCTCTGCCTCTGCCCTACTCTGCTTTTCATCTGTCCATATTGTCGGAAGTTTGACTTCTAAACTTCCCTCGATTACTACTACTACTACTACTACTATACTACTACTACTACTACTACTACTACTACTACTACTACTACTACTACCTACTACTACCTACTACTACCTACTACTACCTACTACTACCTACTACTACCTACTACTACCTACTACTACCTACTACTACCTACTACTACCTACTACTACCTACTACTACCTACTACTACCTACTACTAACCTACTACCTACTACTACCCTACTACCTACTACCTACTACCTACTACCTACTACCTACTACCTACTACCTACTACCTACTACCTACTACCTACTACCTACTACTACCTACTACTACCTACTACTACCTACCTACTACCTACTACCTACTACCTACTACCTACTACCTACTACCTACTACCTACTACCTACTACCTACTACCTACTACCTACTGCCTACTCCCTACTCCCTACTCCCTACTGCCTACTGCCTACTGCCTACTGCCTACTGCCTACTGCCTACTGCCTACTGCCTACTGCCTACTGCCTACTGCCTACTGCCTACTGCCTACTGCCTACTGCCTACTGCCTACTACCTACTGCCTACTACCTACTGCCTACTACCTACTGCCTACTACCTACTACCTACTACCTACTACCTACTACCTACTACCTACTACCTACTACCTACTACCTACTACCTACTACCTACTACCCTACAACCTACTACCTACTACCTACTACCTACTACCTACTACCTACTACCTACTACCTACTACCTACTACCTACTACCTACTACCTACTACCTACTCCCTACTCCCTACTACCTACTACCTACTACCTACTACCTACTACCTACTACCTACTACCTACTACCTACTACCTACTACCTACTACCTACTACCTACTACCTACTACCTACTACCTACTACCCACTACCCCTACCCACTACCCACTACCCACTACCCACTACCCACTACCCACTACCCACTACCCACTACCCACTACCCACTACCCACCCACTACCCACTACCCACTACCCACTACCCACTACCCACTACCCACTACCCACTACCTGCTACCCACTACCTACTACCTGCTACCTGCTACCTACTACCTGCTACCTGCTACCTGCTACCTACTACCTGCTACCTGCTACCTGCTACCTACTACCTGCTACCTGCTACCTGCTACCTGCTACCTACTACCTACTACCTACTACCTCCTACCTGCCACCTACCACCTACCACCTACCACCTACCACCTACCACCTACCACCTACCACCTACCACCTACCACCTACCACCTACCACCTACCACCTACCACCTACCACCTACTACCTACCACCTACCTACCTACCACCTACTACCTACCTCCTACCACCTACCTACCTACCTACTACCTACCTACTACCTACCTACTACCTACCCTACTACCTACCTACTACCTACCTACTACCTACCTACTACCTACCTACTACCTACCTACTAGTACCTACCTACTACCTACCTACTACCTACCTACTACCTACCTACTACCTACCTACTACCTACCTACTACCTACCTACTACCTACCTACTACCTACCTACTACCTACCTACTACCTACCTACTACCTACCTACTACCTACCTACTACCTACCTACTACCTACCTACTACCTACCTACTACCTACCTACTACTACTTACTACTACTTACTACTACTTACTACTACTTACTACTACTTACTATACTACTACTTCTTCTTCTTCTACTTCTACTTCTACTACTACTTCTACTACTACTTCTACTACTACTTCTACTACTACTACTACTACTACTACTCCCACTCCTACTCCCATTCCTACACCTACTCGACGCCTACTCCTCAGAAGCTTTTACACACAGAAGCTTTTACACACGATAGCTTTTACACACAAAAGCTTTTCCACGCAGACACTTTTACACACAGGCGCTTTTACACACAGAAGCTTTTACACACAGAAGCTTTTACACACAGAGGCTTTTCCGGATTCCGTCCAAAAAGCTCTCCCCCAGCCGAGTGAAGGATTTTGGGTGTTTTTTACTTACACAAAAGCTTTTACACACAAAAGCTTTTACACGCAGAAGCTTTTACACACAGAGGTTTTTACACACAGAACCTTTTGCACACAGAAGCTTTTACACTCAAAAGCTTTTACTCACAGGCACTTTTACGCACAGAACCTTTTACACACAGAACCTTTTGCACAGAAGCTCTTTCTTACACACAGACACGTTTACACACAGAAGCTTTTACACACAGAAGTTTTTACACACGGATGCTTTTACACACAGAAGCTTTTACACACAGAAGTTTTTACACACAAAAAGCTTTGACACACAGAAGCTTTTACACACAACAGCTTTGACACACAAAAGCTTTTACACGCAGAAGCTTTTACACACCGAAGCTGCTACACGCCGAAGCTTTTACACACAGAGCCTTTTACAAACAGAAGCTCTTACACACAGACACGTTTACACACAGAAGCTTTTACACACAGAAGTTTTTGCACACGGAAGCTTTTACACACAGAAGCTTTTACACACAGACACTTTTACACACAGGCGCTTTTACACACAGAAGCTTTTACACACAACAGCTTTGACACACAAAAGCTTTTACACACAAAAGCTTTTACACGCAGAAGCTTTTACACACAGAAGCTTTTACTCACAGACACTTTTACACACAGAAGCTCTTACACACAGACGCTTTTACACTTAGAAGCTTTTACACACAGAAGTTTTTACAAACGGAAGCTTTTACACACAGAAGCTTCTACACACAGACACTTTTACACACAGGCGCTTTTCCACACAGAAGCTTTTACACACAGAAGCTTTTACACACAGAAGCTTTTACACACAGAACCTTTTACACACAGAAGCTTATACACACAGATGCTTTTACACACAGAAGCTTTTACACACAGACGCTTTTACAGACAGGCGCTTTTACACACAGAAGCTTTTACACACAAAAGCTCTGACACACAAAAGCTTTTACACACAGAAGCTTTTACATACAGAAGCTTTTACACACAGAAGCTTTTTAGACACAGAAGCTTTTACACACAGACGCTTTTACACACAAAAGCTGCACATCAAACTCCCTTGGGGCCACCTCTCTATGGCCAGCGGGCTTGTCGAAGGCAATTAAATAGTTACAATGAAAAACCCGCTATTTTGCTGTCCAGCTTTTTGTGTGCTTTATATACACCCACAAATATACGGTACCGCTTGCATCTTTTTACCCTTCCTCACTGACCATGTGCCAACTGCACATCCTAGGACTTCAACTTACACATTCTATGGATGACAAAATATGATGACTTGTGTGTTGTTTTCAATGCATTGAGAGGAGGTGAAAATTTATGGAACAACAGATGCGTATTGATTGTGTTTGTCATTTCTTGAACAGATTATACCATATGTTTCTTCTCATGGAATGTTGCGAAGCCTTTCCTAAACTGCCTTCCCAATTCACTGGCTTTCCGGTGTGAGTCAATCCGCATGACGCCCGGAAACAAAGACACCGGGAACCCCGGCTACAGCTGAGTGAATTGTAGTTCCGAGAAGATTGTCATGATACATTTGCATAGACCAACATTATTTGCATTGACTGTTGCACTGAAAGGCAGTTGAAAAGAGCAGACTTGAGTGTGCGGGTCAACCCACAAGACGCCCGGAAACAAAGACAGGGGGAACGTCGAATACTTGTGAGATGAAATGTATAATCACTTGTTCACACTAGTAATCCTCAATGTTATGAGTATAGCGATGCACACATCATATTTATATTTTTGGCTCACCACATTCCCCCCCTAATGTTTACGTGCTATCAATAACCCCCCCAAACATTAAGAGCATCAAAATAAAGTTTAGGCCAATTATTGGCCGGGGGTCCCTGGAAAATTTTCCAGACCTATGTGGCACCGAACAAATTGCCTAATTGAAAACGAATATATAAGTGGACTTTCTTTCCATTTTAGTATTCCCAAATAAATTGCCTAATTGAAAACGAAAACAGAAGTGGACTTTCTTTGAAAACGAATACACAAGTGGATTTTCTTTCCATTTTAGTATTCCCAAATGAATGGCCTAACTGAAAACAAATATATAAGTGGACTTTCTTTGCATTTTAGTACTCCCAAATGAATTGCCTAATTGAAAACGAATACATAAGTGGACTTTCTTTCCATTTTAGTATTCCCAAATGAATGACCTAATTGAAAACGAATACATAAGTGGACTTTCTTTCCATTCTAGTATTCCCAAATGAATTGCCTAATTACCTAATTCCGAATCCAACCACCAAAAAATTAGGCCCCTGAAATCAACATACTTTTTTTTGGGGGGTGCAAACATTCATTATTATTTAGATGTTAATGGCCCCAGGGCTACCTGAAAAAACAAGAAAAAAGACGGAAAAAAAACGGGAAGAAAAAACGGGAAAAAAAAACACTGAAAAAAAAACGGGAAAAAATGAAAAAAAAAACATGGAAAAACGGGGAAAACAACACATCAAAAATAGGTTGGCGTACTTTATTACGGGGGGGGGGGTTACTAATATTTCCCGGGATTGGGCGTACTTAATTGCGGGGGGTTCTTTAATAGCACCCGGACATTACACCAGAAAGAATTACTACAATATATTTTTGGGTTGCTTCTTTTAAGGTCGAGGACTTTAGAAACCCAAAAAACAACCAAAAGCATAAACAAGACAAGTTTTGGGAGACATGCTTTGGGGTGGGGGGGCAGAAACCAAAAAAAGACACAAAAAGAAAAACGAAAAACCACCCGAAAAAAGAAAAAAAACAAAAAAATGTTTTGGGAGACATGCTTTGGGGTGGGGGGGGGGGAAGGCGGCCCTAAGTCCTCAAATTCATTTTTTGTGTTTTTTTTTAATTATTTTTTTTGGTTTTCTGGTAGGGGAAGGGTCCTAGGTCCTCAAATTCATTGTTTTTTTTGTTGTTTTGTTGCTTTAGTAGATGGCAGATGGCCCGGCAGATGGTTCATATTTCAATGAAAATGCAGTGGGCTACAAAAAATGGTAGGTCCTGGTGGGGGGAGCATATATATAACTATCAGATATCATATGTATATATTTTGGTCATAATTCGCAACCCCTACATACTGTATATGAATATGTATGGCCCCTTATGTATGTATATATATATATATATGTATATATATATATGTATATATATATATATATGTATATATATATATTGCATTGGCATGTCATATACTTATAATCTGCTTTATGCCCATCTATTGACTTGCCCCACCTCCCCCAATTCACCGCCAGCTCCAGGGCACCAAGTTTGGCGCCAAATAACGACGTCGCATCAGCGCAAGCAGCTGCAAGCTCTGCGACCACCTGGGGAGGGACCATAGACTATCATATACTCCTATCCATCCATCCATCTATCCATCCATCTGTATATATATATATATTACTATATATTATATATTATATATTATATATCATATATTATATTATATATATATACACAATTCTAGATATAGATATAGATATAGATGATATAGATATAACTGAGAGTTGAAGTTTGGCGGGACTTTGGGTTGACTTTGGGCCATTTTTTTGCCAAATGGCCTCTGGTCTGACACAGCTTTAGAAAATCCACCATGAATGTAGATCGAACAGGAAACCTACCAATTTCAATAGCTATGTCACAACCACATCTAGGAATGAACGAAACTTGGGGCGCTGAAACCGAAATGGGGGATATGAATTCACCGATGTGCCGAGCAACTGATGTTCGCGGTCGCAGATGTTGATGAGACTGTTGTATGACACAATGTCCTGACCCGTTGAGGTTGTGGTGGGTTTACCCTCTGGTAATCGTTTACAGATGATTTTCCCATATGTTCCCATTAAAACCTCCATTTATCGACAACTTTACCATGGATTACCAGTAGGTCTGTCTCAAAATGGGGAAATGGCATGATTCATTCTGAATTGCACGAGGTGCAGGAATTAGACCTTTTCCTTTAGATACTGGAAAAATGACGTCTATGTATAAATGTATTTCTATCATAATCATACATACATACATGTTCTTACTGCAAGCATCCCATATACCCTCTGGTAATCATTGCCATGGCAAGAAAATCCCATTTACAGTAGTTCGATGATTTTCCTAGCTATAACCTTGGTTAGTTCGAGGAAATTCCACTGTTATTCCAATAGTTACCCCAATAGTCATGCCAGAATTACCCCAAGAATCATCCCATAATTTCCCATTTTTATAGGAGATGTTGTTCCATATCTTCCTATTTTTTCCTGCATATGTATATGTCCCATGTGTTTCCTATGTTTTCCCATGATTTTCGCAGCTTTTTCGCTGGGAACGCCCCCTGAAGCCCAAAAGTCCGGCGCCACACGTTGCCGCTGCATCAGCAGCATCAGTTCCCGGCCCCGCTGCAGCGCGGCGCCCAAAAGCGCCACGTTGAAGGCCTGCACGAGCGCTTTGTAGTTACCAATAGTACAGTTAAACTATACTATTGATGGTTATACTATTGATGGTTATACTATTGATGGTTATACTACTGATGGATATACTACTGATGGTTATACTATTGATGGTTATACTATTGATGGTTATACTACTGATGGTTATACTACTGATGGTTATACTATTGATGGTTATACTATTGATGATTATACTATTGATGGTTATACTATTGATGGTTATACTATTGATGCTTATGCTATTGATGGTTATACTATTAATGGCTATACTATTCATGGTTATACTATTGATGGTTATACTATTGATGGTTATACTATTGGATGGTTATAGTATTGATGGTTATACTATTGATGGTTATACTACTGATGGTTATACTACTGATGGTTATACTATTGATGGTTATACTATTGTTGATTATACTATTGATGGTTATACTATTGATGGTTATACTATTGATGGTTATGCTATTGATGGTTATACTATTGATGGTTATACTATGGATGGTTATACTATTGATGGTTATACTATTGATGGTTATACTATTGTTGATTATACTATTGATGGTTATACTATTGATGGTTATACTGTTGATGGTTATGCTATTGATGGTTATACTATTGATGGTTATACTATGGATGGTTATACTATTGATGGTTATACTATTGTTGATTATACTATTGATGGTTATACTATTGATGGTTATACTAATTGATGGTTATACTATTGATGGTTATACTATTGATGGTTATACTACTGATGGTTATACTATTGATGGTTCTACTATTGATGGTTATACTACTGATGGTTATACTGATGATGGTTATATATACTATTGATGGTTATACTATTGATGGTTATACTATTGATGGTTATACTATTGTTGATTATACTATTGATGGTTATACTATTGATGGTTATACTATTGATGGTTATGCTATTGATGGTTATACTATTGATGGTTATACTATTGATGGTTATACTACTGATGGTTATACTATTGATGGTTATACTATTGGATGGTTATAGTATTGATGGTTATACTATTGATGGTTATACTACTGATGGTTATACTACTGATGGTTATACTATTGATGGTTATACTATTGTTGATTATACTATTGATGGTTATACTATTGATGGTTATACTATTGATGGTTATGCTATTGATGGTTATACTATTGATGGTTATACTATTGATGGTTATACTATTGATGGTTATACTATTGATGGTTATACTATTGATGGTTATACTACTGATGGTTATACTATTGTTGATTATACTATTGATGGTTATACTATTGATGGTTATATTATTGATGGTTATACTGTTATACTATTGATGGTTAAAACAGTTAACCATGATTATATTGGTAACCATCAATTGTGTCTAGAGTAACACATTATCAGTGTTGTACACATAAAAATGAGTGTTTCATAATGTATAGTATATACACATCTACCAACTATAGTTATACAATTTATGTGTATGTATAATTATCAATACCAAGTATAGCATAGTTACAGTGTTTCATAGTTACCAATGGTTACCAACTGGAATTCCGGATTTCCGTACTGTCTATATATAATATACGTGTAATCTTGAATAATCATCCTGAAGTAGAATATGGCAATGTTCCATAAATCATCTCACTTTGGTGAACATGTTCGAGATTTCCATATTCTATCTCCTATAGGATGACTATTGCAGATCTATATTGTATATAGAGAGAGAGATGTATGATGATATCTGTATATCATGTGAGTGTATGGATACTGTCTGTACAAAACATCTTGTGTAATAGTAACATGGTGAGGCACCTACTGAGTTGACCTTTATATGGTACAAGTAAGTGCTTAATAACCACCTTTGTCCCAGCAATTGACTCACAGCCATTCCCTCACGAAAGTCCAAGGAGGCAACTAGGAACAGAACCCATTAGGCTGCAGGCCTCATGTTTGACAGTTGAGTTAAGTCCACAAATTTGATGGTTAGATCAGTTAGATCCACGTTTATGATTGTTAATATGGTTAAGTTCCCAACTTTTGATGGTTCAATTCTTTCATGACATCCCCTTGGGATCGCACCTTGTGCGTTGCATCTGTCACTGCCAAGGACTGCAAGAGCTGCGTGCTGAATCTTCTCTGAGAGCTTCGTTCCTTGGCCAGAGGCCCAGCTCATCCCTAGCGGATTAAAAAATAGGCGCCATATTCGAAGTGCTTTCGGCGTTTGAAAATAACCCCGGGCCACCTGGTGATCCTGGTGATGCTTCATCTTCCCGGTCTGGATTGGTTTTTCAAAAAATCCACCGGACAGCCATAGGGATTTACCATCAATGGGCTTCAGATGTTCACCTTGACCCAGGACCCAGCTGGTTGATGGTTCATGGTTCCTGCTTTCCTGGCGTCGTAAAAAAACCGGTACCCCCCAGAACGACCGTGGACATCAAGACATCAAGTAGCCAAGGATAATGCCACAGTGCCATATGCTACGGCATCCAGCTCCCATCGACGCCTGGCAATGAAAAAGAGAGACGCTCCTAGGTCGGACCCCTGGTGAATACCAAAAAACAGCTGCTGGTCATGGATCTTCATCTCAATTCAACCAATGGCCCCGTAGGTCTTGAACCATCCAAGAATCTAAAAAAGAATATCGTTGTCAGCTTTTCAGCGTTCCGTCACACCGGGAGTCATGTTGCTGAACTTGCGGACTGCTGGGAAGTGAAGGTTAAGGTGAAGTGGATATAGGTAAAATCCTTGGGTTACCAATTGACCCACCAAAGAAGTTTGTCGTTTTTTGGTCTTAAACCATCTAAAGCAATCCATTTTGGGGGTCCAATATTTTTCACCCGGCCCATCCTATTGATGAAACTGAAACTGATGCTGGACACCTCATAGGTGGTGAACGCAAGTGCTTGAGAGTTTCAAATTGGAGCCCTAAAAACACAGCCACACGTCAGCAATGGTACTGTACTTCAATGGATGGTATGACGGATTATGGCGGGATGATTTCCAGTGGAACTTTGAAACCCTGAAACCTCATGGTCAACTTTGGGGTATCGATGGACCCATATGAATTGGCGTTTCTGGTATTTAAACTATGTCTTATAAGCATATAAGCTATCCAGGCTATCCACAATTTGCTGAGAGCGACAGTTTTCTTCGACCCACAAATGTAGTTATATGTAGTTATTAATCTTAGTGCCAAAAAAATTAGCCGCAAAAATTGGGGCAACAGACGCCTGACAGATTCGGCCAACAGCTCTGCGGCGTATTGCCAGGCGCTGCCACGCTCCACAGCCACCAACACGGCACCCAGGAAGCGCAGGTCGGGTGGCACCTGGCGGCCATTTCGGGTTTGGGGGATGCCCCCAAAGTGGCTGTTCTAATAGAAGGATTAAGAAACATGGATGGAATGGTGGTTTTCTCCCTGAAAAATATGACAAAGTCAAATGGATTTCAATCTCTAGTAAGACTCTAGTACATGTTTGAGATCTTCGTCCAAGTTTCATGTGTTTTTTCATGTTTTTTTAAGATGGAACCAGCATCGGGAATCGGTTGGGTCAGTGGCATTTTTTTCTATCAATCATTTGGATCTCAAGGTACCACTCAACTCAAAATGTTGGGATCCAAGGACCAAACCAATCGATATGGATTGATTTAAGGTAAAATCATGTAAAATCTATAGGCAACCACGGAGAAGAGACATGGATTTGACCATCCAACATGGAAGGCTTCCTGGAAATGTGCGCTTGTAGATCGACTCTGGGATTGGAGGGAAAACGGGTTGCAGACGCTGTGGGTCATCTAAACAAGAGGCATCGAAATCATCGAAATCGATCGAGTTGCAAACCCCTTGGGTCCAGCCAGTCAATGCTATGGAATCGTTTCCAAGATAGGCAAAGTAGACTGATGATGACTGATGAGTACAAATGTTGGCAAGAGGGTTTCAGAACTGTCAAGAGGCCTTCAGTTGTTGCAAGCACTGGGAATTTGGCTCTGATTTGGGTATGAGTCAACAGAATATACCTCAAAAATTCCTCACGGGAAACTTCATGCTGAACATGTTTTTCAGAGGTCCATCAACTGAAAGTCACCTTCAAAGCGTGTAGCAGCGCCACTGCATGTTGCCATTTCTTGGCCTGGTCGCAAGATTCGGACCCCCCACTTTTTATCTAGCCTGGCAATGGAAAATCCCACATGTTTATACATTTTTGATATGAATGTCCTGTCTGTTCCCATTGCAAAGAAATGCGTTTTCCCATTGCCAGAAAAACGCAGGTGCAAAACACCCAGGATGCGGTCCTCAAATCCACAGATACATCTTTGGATTCCCGTTGCAACATGGGCATGAAATGGGTGGACCCCCTAGACCCCCCTAGACCGCCTGACCAAATTGCCCCACTCGTGCAGCTGCTGCCTCAGGGCTGTGTGCACATCTTCTGAGTACAGGCTCGGTCTAAGGGAAATATATATATATATATTGCGGGAAACCATGGATTTTCCCCGGAAAATGTGATGATGGTTCTTGGATACGGATCACTGAACCCCGACGCATCACATGTTCATTCATGGTTGATCTTAAAGTATCTTGAAGTCTTAGCGAAACTAAAGTACACAGGTCTTAGCTGAGGTAGTAGATGACGAGCCATTCAACTGCCCTCTGCCCTCTGCCCTCCGGTTTTCGCAGAGTTGAGGGATCTGCATGGAGCCTCCCCCCACTGAATTAAGTTTGGCACACGCAGCCGAAAGGCTTGCTTCCATACCATGGGCGAGCATGACTGGATGGGAGGCTACCATGGCTGACTACAGGGTCCACGTATGGAGGCTATCAACACCGAGGCGATTTCTATGCAAGTTTTGTCTGAGAATTGGCTATCCAATTCTGTCCCCTGGAAAACTTGAACCACATTTTCCCAGTGAAATTGTCATAGATTGGGGTATCCCCTATGACATCCCTAGATTGATGATTATATAAATCCCCTGCAAGTATGTTTGACAGTGAATTCCCCATGTTTGATGTACAAATAAAATCCCTATAAGGTCCTTATAAATTCCCTCCTTGTTCTTCTTTGTTTTTCCTCTACCCCGACACAGTTCTCACCTTCTTCTGCCTTGTATCCAAGCTGCATCAGGACTAGGAAGCACATGTCTCAATTTCCAGCACACTACAGCATACCAGGTACGTTACTTGGCAGGTGCCCTCTGGTAATCGAACCATGGCAATGGAAAATCACCAATTTGTATCAATTGACTACTGTTGTTCTTCAAAGACAGGGATTTCTCATCGCATCAGCCCCTCACGAAGTTTCAGCCTGGCCCATTCTCCATTTTGCTACAGCGGGATGGTTGGATCATGTTGGATCGTTCAACACTCAACAGCCTCAACAGCCTCAACGGCCTCATCCTCAACAGCTCCTTTCGAATCATTCGGATCAACTCTGTCCTGCAAACTTTTGCTGGGCGAGCGATTGAGCTCTGTTCGTAGCTCAACCACACTCGCTCTGTACAAGTAAACACCACAGCGCAAAGGGTTGTCGTCCAGGTTGATACTTGAGGGAAAACTCCTTGGCACACCGAAAAGCACAAGTTCAATCTCAATCTATGTGTTTCTATTATGACATATGTTCATCATATCCCAGTAGTACCGCACAAGGCGGTGGCGGAAGCTTCAAAAATAGGAAACCTATAGGAAAGGTTGGTTGTTGCGAATCACGGATGGCAGAGCGAAGCCACTGATGGATCGAAAGGTGATTGGTGT